CTCTTGTTCTACCTGAAAAGGACACATCCAACTAGGAAAGATCCCCATCTATTCCTTTCATATGCGTCACCACGCCTGGGGACTCGTATAACAGCCCAGCGTCTATCCAAGTGGATAGTGGAGTTGGTACGTCTTTGCTACCTCCTGGCAAAACAGCCGTTGCCTGGTCCCATCAGAGCTCACTCCACTAGGGCTCTTGCGACATCTACGGCTTTTCTCAAAACTGAAGTAAAGAAAATAAAACGGAGGATGATCCTAAGAAACAAAGGAATAAGGTAAAGGCCCGAAGGCAGTAACAGCTATCCGGTCAGGAGGAAAGGCAAAAAGGTCCTTTCAACGCGGCGGTAGAGAGAGAACTGGCGGGATCTCCGCGCCCGTCCCTCTGGGCATGCGTGCTGGGGTTCCTGCGCATGCTCAGTGGGACTCGCGCGAAAATCCTTTGAAACATAGCTTGCTACGGCACCGGTCGGGTCAGCGCAGGCGCACTAAACCCATTGGTGTGAAGCACAGAGACCAAGAAGAAGATATAGCTGTGAACAGGACTTTTATCTGGGGGAACACGCCAGAATGGAGTTCCGGAACCTCTTTGACAAAATTCTTTTAAAAATGTTTAAAAGTTTATGAGTTTTCAGTATACAGATTGAAAAGTTTATTTCCCTCTTGAGAGTTCTGGCACCTCTTTTTTTTTTTTTTTTTAAGCCCTGGCTGTGAGCAATACTTGGATTATTTAGGAAACAAGCCATTTGCAATACTTGGATCATTTAGGAAACAAGCCATTTTGAATTCCTAAGAGGAAGAATTGGGAGTACATTTAACAAAATAATTTGACTAGTTAGAAAAATGTATTTATTAGAGAAATTAGGAGTCCTGGTTACTTCGGCTTCTATTATAGAACAGCTATATAATCTCTATATTACTACAGTGTACAAACTCTTTTGCATGCTGTTGAACAGGTTCTTATGGAAGAGCATCAGTGGCTACAACTCAATATCCTGTCAAGCTTTTTCTATCCTTTCTCTAAGCAGCTCAAGGACCCTGCAAGGTAGTTTAGAACTATTGGTCCAACTTTATGTGAACATTATGCCCAAGTAGGAATTTGAACCCTGGTCTTCCAAGTCTAGGCTGTCATTCTAACCACAACACCGCACTGACTCAACAGTCTGGCTCAAGGTTGTTACAAGAAATAGCTCCTTGTGAAGGCTTCTTGTTATTCCTTTAGATGATTTGTGAGCCCTGCTATTAGGGGTTCTGCAGACGGTCAGATCCAGAGGCACCTACAAATCTGAAGCTACCACTTCATTCTACAGCATTTGCAAATGGGGCCTTTATGAGGACAGCACAATATACTCTGAGTAAGACATTCATTGTGACTCTATCCCTCCAACAGATTTTAAAATTATATCTATGCAAGAGGGACCCGCGATACTCGCGGGGGGTATTCCCCCTGGCTCCCGGCCTGCGGAAGCAGGAGGACCACAGGGCTGAGGAGGAAGCGGCCACAGGTAAGTTCCCCCCCCCGGGTCCAGCGGCGAGGCCTGAGTGGTGTAACGGGCTCTTACAGGCCACCACCTTTTGGACACCACTCTTATGCGGGACACTGCTAGCTTCGGGTAGTAGCGGGGACCACTTACCCACTGGTTTCGTTCTTCGTGATGAAACTCTCCTGGTTCACTCCAAGGCTCTTAAAACTGGCGGAAATTAGTGACCGGACTCCGTTGTTTATAAGAATAAAACGGCTTTACTGTGACATCTCTCATTTTCCTCCAGCACAACCTTAATCAGATACACGTTCCATAGGTTCCAACAATTAAACCGCTCTCTGGGATTCTTCCCAAAATGTGTCAGTTCCCAATGGCTGTTAGCCTCCAACCGCTCACAACCTCCTCACTCACTCTCCGTCCTCCAACTCCCTCTCTGTCCGTTTTCTGCCCATCAACCTCCCAAACATTCCATCTCTCCACACTGCCCTATGTCTGTACATCGCTTTTCTCTAGGTGTTCCCTTTTTGGAATCCGTCACAGTGGCTTCCAGCCACTGGGCTGCTGATCTCTTCCCCCCCAGCTCCGCCTGTTAGGATAGTATGTTGAATGCCTGCACCGATCTAGCAATAGAGAGTCCAGTCCAAAGAAGTCTACTGTCCACACGGTTAAGTGTAGAAAGTATTTACAAGTTTATTTACAAGGTTGTTGGTGATGCTGGTATACACAAGCAACAAGCAAAGTGCTTCGCCAAGCATCCGCATATCAAGAGGGAACTGAATAGACTGTACAGTAACTACATATATACATGTCAGTAGCCAATCAGTACCTTGTGCCGAGTCATTCTGACTCCAGCTCTCCAGCACTGGCTAAAACTAGTTTGCTCCAGTCTTATCTGTTAATTAGGAGCTGTCATCTGTCAGGCAGATGCATATGATGTGGAACAGCTTATGTCTTAGTACATCAACACTGCTGCCAATCTCTGCCTCCCCCCAACTCTGGCGGCGAGGCTGCATTCTTTTGGGGAGCTTCCACATTATGTCACATACTATTTGTCCTGCTTCTGTGTTTTCCCCTGCTTTGCTGTGATCTTTTCCAAACCTGGTCTGAAAAGACTGCAGTCAAAGCACTTTTGGATGCCAAACAGACATGTACAATTTCTGGAAATGTCAAAGCCATGGGGGAAATTTTTTTTCCCTGTTCATTTTTTTTGGGGGGTGGGGGGAACAAAAATTTAGGGGAAAGCTGAAATATATACAATAATTACTTCCCTATCAAACCTAAGCTTTACTCATTTGACAACATGAAATGCATAACGTAGTTCATAATTCATAACTTCCAATAGCATTTAAAGTCATATTGTTTGGAACATTTATGGAATTTAAAATTATAAATGCCTTAGTTTATTATAAGACAAATTGTAAATATACTCAGTACTTAAGAGAGTTGCAACGTGCTGCACCCTATGCTACCTTAGCACATGCATCTCAATTTTTTGTCATCTCAAAGGTAGGAAAATTAAAAATGAAAGGTTGGAAACAAATCCTGCAATACACAAAAGAAGTGTGTGCTATTTAGACAGAAATTTTCATAATGCCAGGTGCCTTTTTGCAGGTCTTAATCACATTGGCACCATTTTCCTTACCTCAGCCTTCATGATTGCCATCCCCCCCAAAAAAAAATAAAAGTGGAGGGTTTTTTAAATGTATTTTTGTGAAATAGTTACACAGACACTCAAATACAAACAAATACAATTACTCATTCCAATTTATTAAGACTGACCTTAGATACCAAAACTTGACTAAGTTGTTGAACTATGTAAGATAAACTATGTAAGATAAAGCTGAAGAATATTTTACAATTAGCCTTTACCCTCTCAAAATTTTTTACAGCAATATTGATTCTATTCATACAACAACTAATAGTGAGAAAACTGGGCAGTCTGGTCTTGTGCTCTCTCTATAAAACACCTATAACTAGATTCTCCAAAATAAAACAGTAAGCCTGCCTAATGGTTTCAAACATTAATCATATTTTCCTCTGTGGTGCTCATCTGTATGTATATCAGTGAACATCTGAAGTATGTTCTTTTATTCATTTCAATGTTGTGTTACTTTTCAATGTATTGGCAATTGCATTTCAGTGCTTGCCTTCTACAGTGCTAAACAGCATATTTTTGGCTATTGTTGTCTTAGTAATATGAAAAATGCCATATTCTTCTCCTTTCTCTCCTCCACTCTCACACAATTACTACAGGGTTCCATTCGCTGGCACTCTTTATGCAGCACTCAGTGTTGATTCCTACTACTGGAAATAATACACAAAGCACCAGATACTTGGTAATGTCAGTGGGGTGGCACAGGATACTAAAGCTAACCATCCTTTTAGATAACCAGGTACAGAGATACATGAGCAGTATGAACAGACCACTGAGAATCTATAAATCTAAGACAATCTTCTAGTGGAGGGCCAGAAAGGTGCAGCAGTTTGGGTGTTAGACTAGGACCTGGAAGATGCAAGCTCAAATCCTCACTTTGCCATGGAAGTTCAATGGGTGACCCTGGGTCATTTGCTCAGCCTTCATGATTGCCATTCCCCCCCAAAAAAAATAAAAGTGGAGGGTTTTTTAAATGTATTTTTGTGAAATAGTTACACACACTCAAATACAAACAAATCTTTTATTTAACAACAAATAACAACTGTCATAAAATCCATAAAAATACACAAATTTTGTGCTGAAATATAATTTATTCACAAAATAAGATACTAGTTCCCTGCTTCTTTCATGCCAATTTTTCACTGTTTGGTTTTTATGATGGCCCAATCTAACAAGCGTGACAAAATGAGATTTTTATGTGCAATTAAACTACTCTCCTCACCTCCTTAAACAAAGAAAATCAAACTAAATATTTCTTATACTGCTGTCCAAAATGTGGTTCCCCATTTTATTGTACCAGAATTTATTATTTTAGAATTAAACAGATGGCTAAACAAACACTTTCCCAGATGGTTCCTATCTCAATGACTTTAAGTTGCTGTCACAGATACAGTTATAGTGGTTAATGAGTACAGGTTTTCCTTATTTTCCTTATTTATTACAGCAAAGTGAATTCTTGTCTGAAACTGCACTGTACATCGGCAGAATTTCTTTAAGGGCAGTTATCAAAATGAATTTTAGAAAAAAGGAGGAGACAGAATACTGCGGTAGTGTAATTAATATTTGCCACACTATTGGTTTCTCTGTTACAAAGTTATCTCTATGCTAAGATGTATACGTGCTATTTAGACAGAAATTTTCATAATGCCAGGTGCCTTTTTGCAGGGCTTAATCACATTGGCACCATTTTCATTACCTCAGCCTTCATGATTGCCATTCCCCCCCAAAAAAAATAAAAGTGGAGGGTTTTTTAAATGTATTTTTGTGAAATAGTTACACACACTCAAATACAAACAAATCTTTTATTTAACAACAAATAACAACTGTCATAAAATCCATAAAAATACACAAATTTTGTGCTGAAATATAATTTATTCACAAAATAAGATACTAGTTCCCTGCTTCTTTCATGCCAATTTTTCACTGTTTGGTTTTTATGATGGCCCAATCTAACAAGCGTGACAAAATGAGATTTTTATGTGCAATTAAACTACTCTCCTCACCTCCTTAAACAAAGAAAATCAAACTAAATATTTCTTATACTGCTGTCCAAAATGTGGTTCCCCATTTTATTGTACCAGAATTTATTATTTTAGAATTAAACAGATGGCTAAACAAACACTTTCCCAGATGGTTCCTATCTCAATGACTTTAAGTTGCTGTCACAGATACAGTTATAGTGGTTAATGAGTACAGGTTTTCCTTATTTTCCTTATTTATTACAGCAAAGTGAATTCTTGTCTGAAACTGCACTGTACATCGGCAGAATTTCTTTAAGGGCAGTTATCAAAATGAATTTTAGAAAAAAGGAGGAGACAGAATACTGCGGTAGTGTAATTAATATTTGCCACACTATTGGTTTCTCTGTTACAAAGTTATCTCTATGCTAAGATGTATACTGGAACCACAAAAATGAAATTACTTCATTTCATATTTATTTTACATTGCTCACTTAAATGCATTTTATTTTTTTGTAACAAAAGTGTTATTTTCTAAGAAATTAGAGTCTCTCTTTCTACAAGGCAGCCAAAATAGACCCCCCCCATTACTGTATTGAGGTGAAATAATACAAAGAATTTCCCCAAGAAGCATTTTTTTTGAAGTTTCATATGTGCAAACTGGTTAGTTTCAACTACCCTCTAATTTCAAAGCATTTCACCGAGTAGCAAAAATACTGCAAATGATTCTAGTGGTCTGGTTTTAGCAATCACTTAAAAAGTAAAATTGAGAATGTGCAAAAGACACAGTCTCCATCTAGAAGTTCAAAGTTATTTAGAATCATTTCCATGTAGAATAAAAGACTAATTAAATACATGACCTAGATTTTAAGTGACCTAAATATCATTCACCTTGGGTTTTAAGAAAACAATAGCCACTTGCATATGAACTGGACAGTGGAAACCATCCAGTTTTTCACAAACATACATATACATAAAAACTGCATATCTGAGCAGCATGCTAGGAAAGTGGGGCTAGTATGATATTGAGTTGAATACGTGATAAATCTTGGGATACCGCACCTCCACTCATTAGTTTGCCTAGCTTCCAAGATGCATTGACTTGGTTAAGAAAGCTTCTACAATTGCACCAACCTAGAAACTTGGAATTCTTTTCCACAGCCATTTTTATTTATTTGCTTGGGGCCAGTGTTTATATAAAAGCATTCAAATGTAAAAACATTTGCACAGCAAATTTTAAAGAAGTTACTGAGAAATGAAATACGAATTGCTATGACTGAGATTATTTTAAAACAGTACAGCATCAGTACAGGTTCTCATTTTAAAAGTCTGGTACTCAATCTTAAAACATATTTATTCAGAAATTTATCGTAGCAGAATGCATTTCCAAACAAATATGGTTAGACTTGACATCCAAGGGTTACCTCGCTGCTGAATTTGGAAAGGCAATAAAGTCTATGTAGACATGGGTTTATTAGTCGCTACAAAGGACAATGGCAGCCACTGAACACATAGTGCTCTGGAACATGGCTAGTGGTACAATCTGTGACTCACTGAAATTAACAGCAAAATGCTCATTAATTAATGAGCTGGAATTCACAGAATTTTTAAAAAATAGTTGCCAGTTTAAAGTTACACTGTTACCAAATATGCTGCACTAAACAATTATTCCCTGCTAACTTCTAATACTTTGAATATACCGTTGTTGAATACTGTTCTGAAAAATGGTCTGGAATCTTTGCTGAGCATCTTGCATAATGGAATTTTCCCAGCATTGGCAGGATCTTCTATATCCCAGATCTCTGGCATGCTGCAGCCAGGCCTAAAAAATATTTAAATAAAATCATTTTTTAAAGGTGCCGTCTAAGGCAAATTACAGGGAAATTTTGCATACCATTTACTAAACCTCTCAATAATAGAACTGTTAGAAGGATGTCTCGAATCTTGCTTTCATTATAACACAACAATACTGAAGGGACATCAAATTGCTTTTCTAAGATGTTCTTAGAAAGCCAATCTTTACTAATAGTTATCAAAAATACAGGAATAGTCATCAGTACCAATTATATGCAAATGCTATGCAGACATGAATGGAGAAGTGTAGCAAGGACTTAAGAAAATCCACAGCAACCAAATTGGATCTTATTAATATTCCAGATATACCAGACAAAACAAAAGAATACGATCATTTGGATATCACACAGTAGCGACAAAAGCAAAATTCTGATTCTAGTAAGTCTTTTGAAGGTCACTTTCCACATTAGCACTAAATGTCTGAATTCTATTTTAAAATCTGTGCACAATAAGAATATTTTGTAGTATTTCAAAAGGCACCTGGTGGCAAATCTAACTGCAACTTTAACAAGGGTGGATGGCCAAACCCCAGAAATACCACAGTACAAGACCCCATGGAAGAGTTTAGCATTATATTATAACACGTTGTAGTGTTTCCTTGTAGGGCAAGGAGTAGAGCCCTTTATTTTAGCTGTTTGCTGTCTCTTTCCCAGTTTTATAATACCCCTTGTTGAGACTAAGTGACCATAACCATATGTAAGATTGGACCCAAACAGATTTTCTGCTGGTGAAAAAAGGTGAGGGGACTTTGCTGTGGATCACAGGACCTACATGGACAAAAGCCATGTGGGATGGTGACTGTATAAGAAGAGAAACTGGCTGAAGACTGAAAAAGCAGGCTTGATCCAATCCATATTACTGGAAATTTGACTGCACTATAGGCTTGTATAATAGTATTATTCAGGTGGGTAGCCGAGTTGGTCTGAAGCAACAGAACAAAGTTTGGGTCCAGTGGCACCTTTAAGACCAACAAAGTTTAATTCTGGGTATAAGCTTTCATGTGCATGCACACTTCTTCAGATGCATACAATAGTATTATGTATTCAATCCTTTCCCCAATTATACGTAACATGGAATTTGCCTATTTCATTGCACCTTCAAATCAAGTTAAATGTTTTTAGTGACCATAACCCCAAGATCACTTTCTTGGGTAGCCCTGTACACATGATGTTAGTATGAACAAGCCAATGTGTACAGAGGAAGAGTAGGTGTGGGCTATTCCTGACTCAGCTTGTGACCAAGTACTTAGTAATGAATTACTGAAATTAGTAATGGAATTACTGAATAGCAATGTTATGGGAAAGTTCCCACTGTGTTTGTGAAGCTGTGCTTATCAGCAGTAGCAATGGATCACCAAATATACTCTGGTTCTTGTGGAAATAAAGACACTAGTGACATATCCTTCCACAGCACAGATGCAGGAGTCTGATCTACTAATATGCAGCCTCATTGAACTATATTTCAGCAACATAACTGCAACCCTACTGTCAAATCTCTATAGTACAAAGATCTGGCACCTCATCAACCATATTTATTTTGTTACTTACTTGGTTCTTCTCAGGCACCAGGAGTCTTCTAAAATGTAATAATTTATTCCCAACCGTAACAATTCCCTTTTAACTTCTTTTGCTGGTTTTCGACTATATATGGAATAAACTATTTTTGTTCTCGCTCTTTGAAAAAAGAGAGTCACAAATAAAGTTAGCAACCGAAAAAGAAGAAAATGTAATTAGTAGAGATATGTCTAGAGACAGATGCTTTATCCCAGCATTTTATAGCCAAAGCTGTACTTTATCAGATGCATGAAATTGAATTTAAAGGCATTAAAGGATGTATATAACATAGGATAAGCGAAGTTAGCAAAGTAAGAACTGACAATAACGGGGATAAAACACTTTTGTTCAAAACATGAACAAACATTTAGCCCTGGTCATATATAAAAAGTCAGAGTACATCAGGACCAAGGGCTTCTACAAACATCTAGGAAACTCCCAAACCAAGGGGACCTGAGAGATTTAAACTGGCTGGGTTGCCGTAATTGACCAGGTCCTTAAACCATCTGCAAAAGTCTGTTGACATAATTCAGGAATAAAATACATGGATTATTCCACAATATATTTAGGTCCTGATTCACCCATCTCTGCTGGTTATGACCCCTAGGTTCATGTTCAGTCCCTATTGATCAAATGATTAAAATCTTTAGAATATATAAGTACAAAGAACTGAATTTAAGAAGACAAGTGTATCTCACCGTAGTCCTGCATCTTCATAATGGGGATGATTCACAATAGGTCGAAGTGTAGACAGTTTTACACTTGCCATTGTAGGCATTGCTCCCGCAAAAACAGCATCTGAAATATATAAGTGAAAGCTGAAAAGGAGTAACCGAGAAAAGAATTAAAAACATATAATGAAGTTCTGATGAGATTTGCATTCTAAAAACCAGAATCTAAAAGAATACTTGAAGCAAATCCAGAACTGCATTCATTCACAGGCAATAGACTTACAGTTTTGGCTATAACATCTACTCTATTTTAAAACCTATAATCACCCCTTCTCTATGGAAGATTACAGCAAAATACAGCATCTGAGAAAATTGTTCAACAGCTTGATCCTCTGCTTTGCAAACTGTATAGAAAACTAGATTTCTGCTTGTCTTTTACTGGATATTGTAGTTGTTTTTATGAAAAGGAGACTTTAATACCTTCTTTGGTGTTTGTTTTTATCCACATCAACAGTTCTTCTTGTGGCAAGTTGCTAAATTCTCCTACAATACTCCATTCTTTCTGAACATTTGCTATCCCTTCAAATGCCATCATTGCTAAAATGGCAACAACAAGAGTTCCAGGTTGGATTTTGCGGAAGACCCATCCAAACAGCTAATAAAAAGAAATCAACATGAATCATTTTTCAAAGACATTAAGCATTCTGACTGCATGAAAAATGGAATACCCATGGGAAACGGGAGTTGTCAGTTGAGTCTTTTAACCTACAGCAAGACGTCAGCAGTGTCAAGCTGCAGTACACCCATGCCTGGAATCCACAGCCTATTTGGTACTGCTCCCCTCTCACTGTTGCTAGGCTGAGAGATAAGTGTCATGTGACTGACTTAGCTGGGCTGAGTGGCCTCCTTTTTCCCAGCAGCAGCTCATGCTCAGGCAGGGGCTCAAAAGTGTCCTCTTGGACCTGAACACGCCAGTTATATGAGTTCTCTGGTTAATCAGGTGCCTATTAACAAAGCTTTTAGGATCAGTTCATTATAAATCAGTAAGAATGTTCATGCAAGTTGAGCCTACTACAGCATATTGTATTTAATTTATCCCCTTATATAAAAGAAATAAAATTCCTGTTAATATAACCTAAAATAAGTTTCACTCACATAATTTCACTGTATAATGTTGAATTATATAATACAAGCAAGGAACTGTAAGAAACTCCCAGGGAAAGCCCTTCTTTTTTGTGTCCTTTTTCCATACCCTTCTCCTCCTCATCCTGCTTTCCCCCTAACATCCTTCTGTCAAGAAATTGGACCTTTAGCTCAATTTCTTGTTGTTTCATTAAAAACCAGGCCTCATATTAATCTCTAGGCCTGCAAATGGGTTGAAGAGGCCAAATGGAAACTAACTGGCTGTTGGTATTGACGGGTTGGCAAAACAACCTTGTGACCTCTGGATAACAATTCAGGTATAGAGACAGGCCATTTGTTTACCAGGACAGGACTTGGCACCAATGCATCCTTCAATTGGTGCTGTGATTTACACCACACGAGGGATAGGTTAAATTGCAGATAACCCCTACATCCTGTTATAAAATGGCCCCCTCCTGGGCCATCTGTTGTAACAGGTTCATGGCAACATAACTGATCTGATTTTTGATGGGCTAAAGGGCCCCAGCCCACTCAAATCTTAGACCTTAAAAAGGTTAGTCTTTCTGTTCTGTGTTCGTAGCTAGCACAGCTATCATGAGGTATGATGAGTTAACCTCGGAATGAACCAGGCTCTTACCTGGCAAAATGCTCTATGGACAGAGACATGGATTGCTGTCTGAAGGGTAACATCTGGTAACTATGTATTAATGACCTAATGTGCAGCTGGTATATTAATTGTAGCTTGTTTTAGTTCTCACTGCTAATGTTCTTTTGAAATATTCTTGCACACTTTAATAAATGTCCTTTGACTATACTTGGTGTGTTTTGTGCTTCAGAAGCCTCAATCCTAATTCAGTACCTTAGACTTTAAGAGTCCATCTACCAGGTTAATTGTTGTGAAAACTCATTCTGCAAGTGGGCTCCCTTGCAGGGCTGACTTTGTTGATTAATCCCAGTAAGGTTACAAGATTGCCCCTCAGCTTCTATGTGGGTAGTCCAAGGGGCTGGTAGCACATACCAGAATTGGTGAGTGTGTGGACACACACCCCAGGGCTTTTGTAATTTTGTGCTCTGCCAGCCAATACTAAGAATCCCTTGGATTGGGGATTCTTGACACCATCTACCATACTACCTACCTCTGCAAGGGAAAAGAAGCAACCTACCAGGGGAAAGCAGATGCTGAGTGACAACTTTCAGCAGTGTTTCAGCTGGAAGGAAGCCCTCAGTCATCTGGCTGCCAATCCAGCCCAAACACAGCTAGCACTGAACACTCAATGTCTGCTTTCCTCAGCAGGCTTCCTTCCCTCCTGCAGGCAACATCTACTCTAATCAGTCCCTCTTCATCCCCTTTTCCAGTTCCCTTGCCACAGCCTGTTTCCTACAGTTCCCTTCCGTCACTGCTGGCTCAAGCTGGCTGCTGGTGCGCTATCGACAGGGATGGCAGTGGAATCAGCAATGGTGGCAGTTCTTTTTGTTGCGTTCCACTGCCACCACTTTGAGACAGGCCTAGAGCCAAGCTTTGAACCTAAAAAGGAAGAAGCCCCTTGCCACCACCTTCTTTTACTCCTGCCTGTCTACCCCCCATACCTTCCAATATATTGAACAGTTTCTAAGAAAATTGATTTTTCTGCAAACCTATGAGCTCCCCCAAATTTGCAGAGAGGTCTTCTTTCTCTCCACATGGCCCTGACCCACAGATTTAAGCATCTGCAGATGGGGCTATGTTGAGAATTAGATATGGTGAGTGTATAATAAAACTTTTAAATACTTGAACCAATGCACAAGGTGCTGTCTCCTTTCATGTTCCACCATGATTTATCAGAAAAACTACTTTAACTCTGTCAGTGCACAAGACAGCATGTAAAGTTTTTGTGAAAAGACATTTTTGGTGGCCCTCACAATTTTCCCTCCAGGAATTAAAAAAAAATCCCTAATTTTCTCTTTAAAATCTTAAAGCCTTGAAATAGATTTCAAATGGCAGCAGAACATATATATCTATAGATAAAAATGGCTGTTACAGAAACTTGAATCATATAGGAACCTCTTTGCATGGAAATTATCTTTACCTCGTCTCCAGTACAGCAGGCTTTTGGTAGATCCACCTAGAGAAACCTGATTTTGACCAGGTATTGTGTTTATTCACCAAGATCTGATGCATGTAGTTCAGTTCAGTATTACACTGTTTGGCATACTGAGATGCTATATTAGCCACCCTGTACAAAATGTGTTAATTCTTACGAAAGTAAAAGTCTCACAACAAAATATAGTGACTTACTTGTTTTGAGCAGACCAAGGATGCCATGATACACATATGAGGTGTAAGAAATAGCTTTAGTCTCATAACTAAAATTGCAAGAACTGTAAATATAACAAGTTGCAGTGTGTGGTACACTATCTGTAAAACAAACAAAAAAGTTTTTAAAATGCACATTTACGATTTTCAAATTAGGTCCACAGCTTATGTAAGAAAAACAATTCTTTATTACAAAGCTGCAGAAACCATAAAGTGAGGTAAAGATCTAAGTAAAACACATTTAAGTGACAGATTACTTAGCATTTATATCCTTCCTCATAGCAGAAACTTGGAAAAATAGTCCAAGAATAAATAAGACTAAACCATTTAGAGACACAGCAGAATTTAAATAGAATTAAGTTAGCAGTTCTTGCAAGGAACAGGGCCTCTACTGTATTTGAACTTTAATCAGCATCACTGCTTTTTTCAGAGTTGTGCTTCACTTCGCTACAGTGTTTTCCATATTAGTAAAAACAGGTTGCTTACCTGTAACTAGTGATCTTCGAGTGGTCATCTGTGCATTCACACCCATGGGATTCAGTGCGCACGCAAGAGTAAGGACTCTCGTATGTTGGGGGGGGGTTAGGACAGTGGTATGTGCGTTCTTCGAGGTATCGAAGTTGCAGATGAACCACAGTTGAAGGTGGTGCATTTTTAGTTTTGTGAAGACTACAACTGACATAGTCGCGGCCATAAGGCCGAGTAGCCTCTGTATTTGGAAGGCTGTGACCAAGGGTTGGGTACGAACGACGGTGGCTAGGTGGATAATGTCTGCCGCTCTGTCTTGGGGCAGGTAAGCCATGCATGTCTTGGAATCCAGTAGGGCACCAATGTATTGTATCTGCTGGGCCAGTTGAAGTTGAGACTTCTGGAGGTTGAGTTGCAAGCCCAGATCTTCCAAGAGTACCATTGTCTCGTTGATGTTTGAGACTAGAGTGTCCTTGGAGGACACTACTAGGAGCCAATCGTTGATGTACGGGTAGATGGAGATACCCTTGAGACGGAGGAAGGCCGCCACTACTATCATAGTCTTTGTGAAGACTCTTGGGGCGCTTGACAGGCCGAATGGTAGGGCTGCATATTGGTAATGCTGATGACCAATTGCGAAGCGTAGGTATTGGCGGTGGGAGGGATGGATAGTGAGGTGGAAATACGTGTCTTGGAGGTCGAGGGTGGCCATCCAGACACTTTTCCGGAGAAGTGGCATAATCTGCTGCAAGGACACCATGCGGAAGTGGTGGTAGGTGACATAACAGTTCAGCTCCCTCAGATCTAATATGGGTCGAACGCCTCCATCCCGCTTTGGAACTGTGAAGTATCGGGAATAAAATCCCGTCCCGTGGAGGTGTGGTGGTATCTTCTCGATGGCTCCCTTGTGCAGGAGGACGGACACCTCGTCTAGGAGAGGTGCGGAGGGGTGTGTGGTGACGACGACTGGAGTGTTGGGGTTCTGGTCGAATTGAATACGGTAGCCTTGGGATGCAATGGACAGCACCCATTGGTCCGAGGTGATGTGACACCAGGCATAAAGGAAGGGTGACAGACAGGTTTGAGCTGACTCGGTAGAAGGGAAGTCAAAAGCCCTGCTTGGAGGACCTTGGTTGTTTGGTGCATGAGGGCTGTTGTCCAGTTCCGAACTTAGGCTTTTGAAAGGCGGGTCTTTGACCACCGGAAGCCGTACGTGGTCTCCATTGCCTGTCTGGAAATTGACAATTCGGGGTGCGTCTTTGCCAGGGCCTAGTCCAGGTGCGAGGGCGATATTGTTGCCTTATGGAGGATGATACTCCTAGAGCGCGAGAGGCTTTTATGCTCTTGTCTATATCCTGGAGCCAGTCATATATCCTGGTGTCAGTCATGCTGTTAAAGAGACCGAGGCCATCAAAAGAAAGGTCTTCGACATAGATTGGTATTGCGGAGCCAGGAGTGTCTCCTAAGAGCGATTGCTAAGGCCATTGTTCTGGAGGAAGCATCTAAGGCATGTTTGGAAGTGTTGATCTGCTGCTTCGCAAGGACCATGCCTTCCTTTTGAATAATTCTGACCGCCCGAAGCTTGTCTTCAGGGAGGTGGGTCAGGAGGTCGGAGAATCTTTCCCACAGAGTATATTGATACCTGCTCATGCAGGCCAGGTAGTTAGTGGTTTTGACCCCTAACGCAACTGTTGAGTAGAATCATCTCCCGAATGCGTCTAATTTCCTACTTTCCCTGTCAGAGGGTGCCGAGTGCGTTCGCTTCGACTTGGACGAGGATGTTACGACTACCAAATTTGGTTGAGGGTGGGAAAATAAAAATTTGGTACCAGTCTCCTGGACTCTGTCTCGTCGACACCGGGGCTGAAGACGGCTTTTCCCATGGGGCCTTGATAGCTTGCAAAAGGACTGCAGACATGGGGAGTGCAATGGTAGTGGAGGTATCCAGTTGCACAATATCAAAAACAGGATCAGTAACCTGTGGCTATTTTTGTAAGAAAGACAGGCCTAGAGAATGGGCCATTCGTTTGACAAGGTCTGCATAAGAAGTGAGATTGTCGGATGGCGATATAGGGAGGTCGTCTGCGACAGCTTGGTTAGGGTACTCCGGGGAGGTTTGGATCTCCGCAGCCTCTGAGTCAGATTCGTCGTCTCCAGAGTCAGAGCAGCCCTGCTCTGGTATTTGTACTGGAGTAACTTCCGGTTGACTAGTTAAAACTTTTGGTGGAACGACTGGGGGGGTGGGAGGACCCAGAGGTTCCGTTTGATGGTGGGAAGGATCTTCAGCTGGAGGTCGAGACAGCGATGCTGAAGGTCTTGATTTATAGGGTGACTTTGATCTGTGAACAGAGTAGGTAGAATAGCGATCCCAGTCGGAATAGCCCGCAGGAGTCAGCCAGGGCATGGATGGTGGATAATTGCCATAGAGATATCTCAGTTGGCGTTGATCCCACGACTTCTGGACAGATCATGTCTTGGAGACAAAGGAATGTGCCGTCTTCGTGAACGGTCTCTAAAAACTGGCTCATCGATATCGACAGTATCGGCATGCAGACGTGGAGGTTGACGCTGCACGCTAGAAGGAATGTGTTGATTCCGACCTGTATCGACGTTGGGAGCTTCCGAAACCGTCGATGTTGACGATGGAGAAGGAGAGAGGGAAAGCTCTGCACCTGTGGGGTGACTTAGGAGCTCCACACTCTCGATGTCAGAGTAGGGACGCTCCAGCTGTTGAACAGGGGAGTCCAAAATTTGAATTGTGGATATCGGTGGAGGAGCGTGCGTCTCCGATATCGATGGAGTGGGGGGCACTATAGGGGCATCACCCAGTACGGACGCCGCTACTTTCGCCTTCTTCGCCACTTTGAGGAGCTTAGAGGAACCCTTTTTTGCGGACTTCTCCTTACTTGCCTTGGGTCTCTTCTTCACTGGTGTTGAGGCGGAGGATTGCGCCTTCGATACCGGAGGCTTCAGCGTCGGTTGAATGATGTCAGAGGCTGGCCTCAATACTGGAGCCGTCGAGGTCGAAGGTCTCTCGGAGTCCATCGTTGTGGAAGGATTCAAAGCCGATTCAAGGAGCGCCACTTTGAGGTGCGGAGCTCGGTTCTTTCGGGTTTGGTTTGAAAATCTTGCACAGTGCTGGCAAGAGTCAGGTCTGTGACTCTTCCAAACAAAAAATACAAAGGGTGTGACGGTCAGGCGGTGTGAGTTTACTACCGCAACGTTGACACCTGTTAAAAAAGCCCCACTTTTTCTCCATAGAATAAGAAAGTAGTGGAGAAAGATGGGGGAGAGGGGGAGGTAGAGCCCGAAGGCCAAGCTGAGGTAAATGGAACATTCCCCCCTCAGGAAAAATAAAGTTTTGGGGTTTTTTAGATGTTTGTTGGTAACAAGAAAGTAATAAGAAAAAGATAGAAAAACGAGGAAAAATCCAAAGAGCCATGAGGCAAATAGCCAAAAATAGTGAACCGATCAAACTGACGGAGAAAAGGTCTTTCCAACACGGCGGTAAGAAAGGAACTGGCGGGATGTCCGCGCCCACCCCTCTGGGCATGCGCGGTGGGGTTCCTGCGCATGCCCAAGATCTGGGCGCGAAAATCTGTTAAAGAGCTTGCTACAATGCCGATTGATCCAGCACGTGCGCACTGAATCCCATGGGTGTGAAGTACAGAGACCACGTCGAAGATCCAGTATTCTACTAGTCATTCATATAGCACTTCCAGTATTCAAAGTGCTTCATACACAATGTCATGTTGTAATCCCTATTAACAGGCCTGTGAGGGAAGCCAGTATTTTCATCTCTACATTATCTATACTTTGGGGGTGGGGCAAATCGAGAACATTCTGATTTATCTAGAGCCTACCGGTGAATTTTTTAACAGAGGCTATTATACTTTGGTCATATCATGAGGAGAAGAGGCACTGGAAAAAACAATAACACTAGGAAAAGCTGAAGGCGGCAGGAAAAAAGGAAGACCCAACATGAGACGGATTGACTCAATCAAGGAAGCCACAGCCCTCAGTCTGCAAGACCTGAGAATGGCTGTTAACAATAGAACATTTGCCCTCGCATTAATTCATAGGGTCACCATTAGTCAGAAGCAACTTGGCAGCACTTACCACACACACACACACACACACACACACGTTTGAACTGGAAATTTACAGTTCCTCTTAGCTACCCAGTTACACCACTGTTTATTTTAATATCACTCCATGTTTCTGTTTCTCACAGAAGACATATTTGCTAATTTACTTGGGGGAAAATCCCAGCATAAGCAAAGTCATGGAGAAAGAGATCCTTACCTCTCCACGAATAAAATGATCCTCCTGTCTGGACAAAGAAAGAAAATGCTACACATTGTTTATTGCACACAATAATCTATATTCAGCAATAAAAACAGTAAATTTTTACAAGTGTGAATTGGATCCCACTATCAGTAGATGCAAAGATCAGAGATTTTTCCTGTGTTCCCCTACCTCAGCAGTTGTTTCCAATTCTCAGAGCTATTGCTGGAAGTCTGCAACAGGGAGGGGATGCAACAGGGAGGGGATGTAAAGTCACCCTTTCCCTGCTCTTCCATCAGAAGAGACAGGGCACTTTCGTCCCCTTCCCCTCCTCACTGCAGCATCCAAGCCTACATGGATATTAGCCCACATGGGTCCTGTGACCCCAAGAATAAAGTACTCCATAGTTGGCAAGAATTGCTGGAAGGAGGGTATCATGGAAAAAATCTGCAACTGTCAGTGCGTTCCACTAACTGATCAAAGGAACCAACCCCAAGTCACCTGTTTACAAACTAAAATCAAATTATTTCAATATTTTGAATTTACTGGTTCTCTTTGATGTTTATAACACTACAATTGCTGTAACCATATTTACTTTGTAAACTTACTTTCACTAATCTACGTGTATATGTGTGCTGTGTTGGCAGCTGCTCCCAGAGCAACATTTTTAAAAATCTGCACAGGCAATCAAATCTCCAATACTCAATCAGAAGTCTTGCTGGGCAAAAGTCCTACCCGGCCCCACTCATTTCCTAAAAATACTTGGTGGGCACCAGAAAAGGTATCGGTGGGCACCATGGCACCCACAGGCACCACACAGGGAACCCCTGATCTAGAACATGCAAAAGTCACTTCAGAAAAGTGACTAAAGAAGCATGATTTCAAATGAACTGGTAAGCAATTAGAGTCCAATACAGAGATAAAGGTAAAGGTTCCCTTGCTCGAAAGCCAGTCGAATCCGACTCTAGAGTTGCGGTGCTCATCTCTGTTTCAAAGCCGAAGAGCCAGCGCTGTCTGAAGATGTTTCCGTGGTCATGTGGCCGGCATGACTAATCACCAAGGCGCATGGAATGCTGTTAGCTTCCCACCGAAGTGGTACCTATTTATCTACTTGCAATTTCTTGCTTTCGAACTGCTAGGTTGGCAGGAGCTGGAACTAGAGATGGGAGCTCACTCCATCATGCGGCACCCGGGTCTTGAACTGCTGAACTACTGACCTTCCACAGCCTGCAGTTCAGCGTCTTAACCACTTGAGCCACCGCAGCTCCTAATACAGAAATACCAATGAGTAGTTTGGGCTAAGAAAGTAGCAACACTGATTCCCCTAAAATGGGCAACTCTGAGCTTGTTAAGCACCTATTTCGATAAATTCCTCATCATTTAGCATCAAGCTTAATACTAATTGCATTCCATTCATAATGTGTAAATATCTACAACTATGATGATACAATTGTATGTTGTAATTTATCTTTCAACCTTAAAAACTAATAAAAAATAACAAAAAAACCCTTATTTTTAAAGTTGAATAATAAACATTCACATTTATTTAAAAGGCAATACATTCTTCTATATAACTGATTTTTAAGGATATTTCCTTTCTTTCAAAGTAATAAACAAATACCCCACAAAGAGAACGCAGAGCTTAACAGACTGGAAAACTCTTCATGCCGTACAAATGTCATAACATCTAGCTGTTTTCCAAGGTTTCTTAAAATTATGTTTCTCTTAACAGGCTTTGAAAGTGCTCAACCAGTCTATTTGGTGCCATTTGAAAGCCAAGTACTTATGCTCCTTAATTTAGCAAGAGCTGCTCACTTTTCTCAAAACTCTCATTCCTTTGTCCATATGCAAGTGTCCCTGTGACAAATGCTTGCAACATAGCCCTTAATACAAAATATATTTACCTTTCCATGTATTCCTCATTACATAGGATGGCTAATACATATTGATATGTCTGTGAATAATGAAAAAAAATTAAAAGACAGATTTCAGGTTTACAGAGGAAACAGGGTTGCACTTACCTGTAACTGCTGTTCATCGAGTGGTCTTCTGTGCAGGCAAACAAGGGATCTGCGCAGGCGCATGCCAGCCAACAGAGGAACTAGCAAGCTTCTTATAAGAATTTTCTAGACTCCCAAGAGTGCAGGTCCCCCCTCCCACTCACAGTGACTTCGCGCCCAAAAATCACGTGATGTGGGAGGGGCCAGCACTTGTCCCTCAAGTTCTCCTGGGCCGCCGGGTAAGAAAAAACACAGGCAACTGAATGTAGACCACAGCGGGGAAGGAGGGAGGGATGTGTGCCTGCACAGAAGACCACTCGATGAACAGCAGTTACAGGTAAGTGCAACCCTGTTTTCATCATCGTGGCTTCTGTGCAGTCCCACATGGGAGAATAGCAAGAAGAAGTATACCAACCGGAGGAGGGTGTGGGCTGATTCAGTGAAAAATTGATTGAAGTACTGCTCTCCCCACAGATGCCTCACTCCTCAAGTGGACATCCATAGCGTAGTGCTTCATGAAGGTCGATGGCATTGACCATGTTGCTGCTTTACAAACATCTTCCAGAGGCAGTGGCGCCATGAAGGCTGCAGAGGAGGCTTGAGCTCGAGTGGAATAAGCTGAGATGTCCAAGGGACAGGGAACCCCTGACTCCCCGTAGGCAGTTTTAATTGTGGAGACAATCCACCTAGAGATGGATTGTGCTGAGGCTTTTTTACCCTTATTGGGACCTCGGTAACAAACAAATTTATGTCGATGCGAAACGGTTGTGTTCTCTGTAGGTAAAAAAGGCCCGTCTCACATCTAGCGTGTGTAGACGTTGATCTGCGGCCGACTGCGGCTGTGGAAAAAAGGTGGGTAGGACAATATCCTGGCCCATGTGAAACCTAGAGACAACCTTAGGTAGGAAACCAATGTGTGTTCTAAGAACTACCTTATCATTATGAAACTTTAGATGAGGGTCACATGACAACGCCCCAAGTTCACTGACCCTCCGGGCAGAAGTGACCACCACTAAGAACACTGTTTTAAAGGAAACCCAGGACATGTCTGTAGTAACCAAGGGCTCAAATGGTTTATGGGTAAGCGCAGTAAGAACCAACAACAAACACCACTGTGGGGTTGGGTGTACAGCAGGAGGGTAAAGATTACACAAACCTTTTAAGAAACGTTTTGAGTCTTGCGCAGAGAAAACCGTGGAACCCTCTACCTCATCATTATAAGATGAAATAGCTGCCAAATAAACCTTAATGGACGAAGGCGACAAACCTTCGTCCTTCAACTTCAAAAGAAACTCAAATATCTTGGCCAGTGGACAAGACCTAGGCGCAAGACCCTGAGAAACAGTCCAAGTAGAGAATTTTGACCACTTCATAGTGTAAGATTTCCATGTAGACTGTTTTAGGGCCGATTCCATTACGAGAGACACCCTAGGATCCATATGTGTCATGGGAGTATCAGCCAAGCTGCAAGCTGAAGGTGGGTCAGTTCTTGGCGAAATCCCGCACTGTGCAGCGACACAGCCGGGACGCCTGAGAGAGTCCAATGAACTCCCCTGGACAGGTTCCAAAGCAGGGGAAACCATGTCCTTCTGGGCCAGAACGGGGCCACCAATATGCATGCTGACCTGTCCCTCTTCAATTTCGTTAACACCCTGGGGAGAAGCGCAATAGGAGGGAAGGCATAGAAGAGGGTGCCTGTCCACAGAAATTGGAAGGCATCCCCTAGGGACCTCGCCCCTACCCCAGCAATAGGCAGGGCATTTTGTACTGGCCTCCGAAGCAGAAGTCCACCGATGGGAAACCCCATCGTTGGAAAATAGGCTGCAGCGAGGGATATGGGAGGCACCACTGTGTGATGTGCTGACCTTCCCTGCTTAACCTGTCTGCCAAGACATTTTGGATGCCTGCAATGTGAATGGCCTGTATGTGTATGTGATGAGTTATGCCGAACCGCCAAAAGCGAGTGGCCTCGGTGTAGAGCCTCATGGAGCCAGTGCCTCCCTGTTTGTTTATGTAAAACATGGCTGTGGTGTTGTCCGTAGCCAAAAGCACCTGTCGCCCTCGAAGGAGGCCTGCAAAAGAACGGAGAGCTTGTTTAATAGCTCTGAGCTCCAATATGCTGATATGCAACGAGGCCTCTGACTCAGTCCAAAAGCCGTGTGCGGTAAACTTTCCGCAGTGCGCACCCCATCCTGTTAGGGAGGCATCCGTGAAGACCTGGACCGAATGAGATCGAGTGCCCAGTCTCATTCCAACAGTCAGGTGGCGGGTTGAGGACCACCAAGAAAGGGAGTGTACCACTGACCTAGGAACTGTCAGCCTTGTCCAAGGGGACTGAGTGAAGGGTGAATAGTGTCTAATAAACCAGTTCTGTAGTGAGCGGAAATTCAACCTAGCATGCGGTACCACCACTGTTGTGGAAGCCATGTGCCCCAGTAGAATCTGGAGATACCTAACAGACACAAATCTGTTGTGTGACATTCGTCATACCAGTCCTACCTATACGGCCCCTGTAAACAAACCTCAAGTACCTTCTGAAATCTGGATGTATTGAGATATGAAAATACGCATCTTTGAGATCAATAATAGCAAACCAGTCCCCACAAGGACAGCATCCTGAATCTAGAAACCGACACGAACTGATTAAGTTCCCGAAGGTCCAAGATGGGCCTTTTGCCCCCACCTTTTTTATCTATGGCAAAAAATCCCCAGCGGTCCCCATAGGAACCTATGAAACTGCCCCTTTCTCAATGAGGGATGTGAGTTCTTGTGAGGAACTCGGAAGCAGCAGTTCCAGTATGTTTCGGTGTTTGGTAAGGGGGCAAAGAGGCAAATCTCAAACAGTATCCATACTTTATTATTGATAACACCCATGAACTCTTAGTAATGGTACACCAGGAATCATAGAACCAGGACAATCTGTCCAAAAAGATGGGCCTTCCTGCTAGTCAGGGAGCCCCAGAACCTCTGGGCAGCTGGTCCCCTGGGAAAGATCTAAAGGTCTTATTCCTACCCCTATTCTGCCTTCACGACTGGGGTTGTTGAGGGAACGGCTGACGTGCCGTGTTTTGGAACTGCAGGTAGGGTTGATAAGGTGGTCTGTATCCCTGGTAGTGGGGATACTTAGAGGAACCATAGCGTGTACCAGACCGTTGCCAATACCTTTGTTTAGAAGGTTGTTGAGACGTTGAAGCAGAAATGCCCAACGTCTTGGCTTGCAGCTTGTATTTCCTCAATTTCTCTAAGACCTCATTGGTCTGGTCGCTAAACAATTCATGTCCCTCGAAGGGGAGATCTTCTAATTTTGACCTGGTATCAGGGAATAAAGTAGAGGCCCTGAGCCATTAGTGGCGTTGCATAACTAGGGCAGACGCCATCGCTCTGCCATGGCAATCCATGTTATCGGGGGCAGCATTTAGTTGCTGTTTGCCCAACGCCATTCCTTCTGTAAGCATAGCCCTGGCTAAAGGACGCTTGTCCTCCGGGAGGAGCTCTAGATATACAGCTACCTTCTCCCAGAGCAGCATTTGGTAACTGCTCATAATAGCGAAGTGATTAACCACTCGCAGACCAATGGCACACGAAGAATATATCTTACGCCCTACTGCATCTAGTTTCTTCCCCTCCTTGTCTGAGGGGAAAGTCTTTGAACCAGAACGCCCTTTAGCTGGCAGCACCTCAGCCATCATCGAATTAGCTTTAGGGTGCTGAAACAAAAAAGCACAGTCACTGTCCTTCACTCTGTAAAGATTTTCAAGCTTTCTGGAGGAAGCTGGAATGGATGCAGGCTGTGCCCAAGCAGACACGATGACCTCTTGGATTCCCAGAAGGAATGGGAGGGCAACAGGACCAGCTCCAAGATCAAAGAGAACCTTCATAAGAGGATCCTTTGTCTGAGGCTCCGTAGCTAAATACTCAAGGTTAAGAGCCTTCACCGTTCAAATGAGCAGTTCAGCATAGGGCATGTTGGTCTCATTCAGCAAAGAGGCGTGGAGGCAGGGATCTCAGCTCCAAGTCGCAGTCAGACGTTTTCCCAATCTCACCGTCTGAGTCCGAGAGCAACGAGTCATAGTCAAGTCGCTGCCGCTGCTTCTGTGGGCCTTGGAACTCGTCTCGCATTGAACAAGAGGCTGCATAGCACTGCCCAGGGAACGGGGGATCCCATGCACCCCAGTCCGCCGGCATCATCATGGGCACAGGGTACCACGGAGTCGAGTGCGCATGGCGGGAATTGCTAGAAGGGCACCTCGGCACCGAGGGAGTTAACAGCTCGATGTCAGAAGACGATTGGGAGAGGGAGTGACGCCTCGACGCCGAGAGCTCTGGCAGCGGAATGTTTGGCTGCAATGACGGCGTACGGCGCCGAGGGGAGCTTGGGCCCTTGTCACACTGCAAAGACTGGCAGCTCCCTGAGTCATGTCGCTCTCGATTCTTGCTGGTCGAAAGCGGCTCTGATCGGGGGTTTGGCGACAACGCAATTTCAGCAGCAGACGGTGCCGATCGCTTTCTCGTCCGCGAACGCGGGGGGTGCTTCAGACGAGGAAGTCCCCGCACTGTGGAGGGTGACACAAAGGCTTGTTCCTCGAATTATTTAGAGGTGAACCCAGAGTCAAGTTTTTAGTCTTTTTAGACTTTTTTCTCGGGGGTTCAGAAAGCGCCCTGGATTCCTCGTCAGTCACTGGATTCAGGGTAGGCGCGGAGAGGACCGAGGAAGGCTTTTCAGATACAGGGGCTTTCTCTGATGGAGCATCTAAGGTGCCCTGAAGAGCCTGCTCCCAGAGGGCAGCTTTAAGGTGCGCTGTTCTGCCCTCTCTCATCTTCGGTGTCAAGCTGTGACAAGCCCGGCAAGTGCCGGTATTATGGCCCTCCCCTAGGCACAGGAGACAGGAGGAGTGTTCGTCCATCTGGGCCATTTTCGCTCCGCACTGCTCACACTTTTTGAAAAGCGGCATTACAGCTCTGAAAAGTTTCCCTCACAGGACGTCTAAAGAAGCTATTACTTTCAAGTCCTCTCTCACCGGCGGCAAAAAGAGAACTGAGGGACGAGCCCCTCCCACATCACTGAGGGAACTGAGCCCCTCCCACATCACATGATTTTTGGGCGCGAAGTCACTGTGAGTGGGAGGGGGGACCTGCACTCTTGGGAGTCTAGAAAATTCTTATAAGAAGCTTACTAGTTCCTCTCCGTTGGCTGGCCTGCGCCTGCGCAGATCCCATGTGGGACTGCACAGAAGCCACGATGATGAAAAGGCTAATATACATAAATAGGCAACACCATTTTGTCAACAGACGTTTCAACAAAACCAAATTAGTCTGATGTTCTCTGAACTGTGTTCTAAGTTTCCAATAAAGTCTATACAACTGAATCTGCCTCTATACTGTGTACCAAACAAAAGTGGCTCAAAGGTCTATTGATAAATACAATTCCCAGCCTTTGTCTTCACTTAAGTACTTAAATATGTTGTTATTTTTAAAGTGGTTCTCCCTTATGGTTCAGCTTATGTGCGCTACAATTCCCCTTTTGTAACTCTGCAAAAAAGAAGAGGTCACATCTTGATCATATGATGACCACCTATCTCTAATATAAATCTGTGAATTGCCACCTTTAGTGACCATGTATGGCAAATGAAGTGACCTACTGTGATGGACCGTCAAGGGTTAATGCCTCACAGAGTCCGAGACCCTTTGAGTGACAGGCAGTTCAAATGGAATTCTATGGAGAGCGTCAGTTAAGAAATGACAGTTGATGAAGAGACAGTTTAGCCCTGACTGTGGACTGGGAAAGTGGTAGGAGAGGGTGGATCAGTGAGGTGGATTCAAGCTGAAAACAGAAATTGCCTTTGAGAAATAATCCCTGCCCAGTGAAAAGGGAAATAGCTCTGCAAAGAGGAATGATACCTGGTCTGTGTAGAGAGAAGGATTTGGGGAACTGTGTGACAGTTCCAACATTGGCTTCTCTTATGTTCTTAACTTTGTTGTTATGTTCCTGCCTTCTAAACTGGAATTGCCAGTGAAACTCAAAAACCAATGCTTGAAAGTTAAAACAGAAATGGAAAAGAAAGCCTCTCTCCTCAGAGTTTCAAAGATCTTGTTGAAAAGCAAAAACACTTACTTATTGGCAACATATTATCTGGATCAAGTATGATTACAAAGTTGCCTCAGTTTTTATTATTGGTTCACTTCATACATCCTACCCCTGATTCCACCTGACCTTTTCCCCTCCAAGTTAATTAAAATATTTTATTTTGAACTTTTAAAAGCCTCTCATGTGCCATCACCAAAGTAGAATATAAGCAGGTTATTTTGTATCTTCCTTCAAGTGCCTGGGCTGGGCCAGCATCAAATATATAATAACGTGACAGGGTGAGACAGCCATAGACCAACAAATAAGAAGAAAATAGATATAGGGGCTGCTCAGCAAGAAAGAAGAAACAAAGGGAAAATCCTGTGTGTGAGGGAGGTAAAAGGGCAAATCACAATACCTACCTTCAGTGAAATTGCTAAAAAAATTGCAAGAACTACTGGAAGCAGCAATGTCTTCATATACCTCACTGGAGTCTGAAATGAAAAATTTTAACTGGTGATAATTATGTACAGTAACGTTCCCATATAATTATACACTATTTTCTTCTGAGATGCTGGACATTCACCTTAGACAAGCCACTTTCTTATTGTATCTTCCCTAACACCTTCTGTTCTCTCCTGTATGCTTCTCCCCTTCCCTTTTCTTATTTCTACTTGCCAAACATAATTCTATAGACTGTAAATGTTACACATTTGTCTGAATATTGAATATGAACAATTTGTAAAACCTGCACAAAGAAGCCACTGTGCAACTTTGTAATACTCCATGTAGCAGACTGCACTATTTCAAAACACCGGAGCTATTACATCTATGTGTCCCATACTAATGCAAGGGACTTATATCAACAAAGCATGAGGAGAGGAGGCAGCTGATATGACTCAGTGATATCCAGAGTAAAGTGCTACCTGTGATCTGCCCTGCTTGATAAGTTACATCAATCAAAAAGGTGAAGAAGGGAAGTGGTGAGGAGGTTAAGAAACCCCAAGCACAAAATCTTACTTCCATGTACTTGATGCCCTATATTCCTGCATCCACTGTCCTACTATTGGTGGTGGTGTAAAGTACCATCAAGTCAAAGCAGACTTATGGTGACCTGTATGGTTTTCAAGGCAAGACACTAACAGAGGTGGTTTGCCATTGCCTGCCTCTGCATCAGAACCCTGGACTTCCTTGGTAGTTTTCCATCCAAGTACCAACCAGGTTTTAATGAACATTTCAGTGTATATTATATTTGACATATAAACAGGATACAGTGGTTAATAGGCAGAAACCAAATCCACAGTCTATCACCATCAATGTTTATGCTATACCTATAAAATAGATACTGAAATGCTTTATATTCCAACCACACTTAAAGCTATCTAACATTACAACCTGACACAGGTATCTAACCTCACTTACAGGTATTGAACACTGGTTCTGACAATTAAAACTTAAGAGCCGTTTAAAAACTGAACAGGATTTTCTCTCTAGATTACCTCTTTCTCCATGAAATCAAACTCTAAAGCACAAGTGTACATTGATGTATCGAAATCCTTATAACCAATAAGTTTTGCTTTCAACAGGTTGCTTATATGAGCCTGATAAAAAATGATAGAGAAAATATTCATTAAAGAAATCATCTCAGGAATTTAAATATATTCAGATACATTCTACACTACGTAAATGGAAATTAGTTATCACAAAAAGTCATGGAAATGTACAAGGAAAAGGACCATTTAATTTAAGCACACAATATGGAAGATACCAGGCTATGGATAGTGTTGTACTTTGCTGTATTTCAGAGCACTTCCTGTGGAATAATAAAATCAGCCATTCTTAAGGTTCAGGGAGCAGAGATATCAACTTATTCAACTTATTCTAACAGCTATGCGCTCAAATTTCATGCTAAGATTTTTTTTTGCATATAGTTCCTTAAATTGGCATATTTTAATCCATTCCAATAATAAAATAATTCCAGACATGAAATTGTGGCTGATTGTTTAGCAACAAATATGCCTCAGTTTCAATTGTTTTGCATAAACACTTCAGTTTTAGGATATGTTTGAAACAGTGACAATAGCCATCTCAAGCAGCAAAAGACTTTTCTTTTGTTTATTAGATGTGCAGTTGTATTATTACATTGCTTGGACTGCCAGCCAACAAATATAGGCTAAAGTGGAATATATATGTTAGATAAGTGCATTTTAAAACAAAATTATTTAAAGAAGGCATCTAATCCTAATTATATATCACCAGGGCAACACTCCCCACCAGAGATATAGCAAGTTTCCTCATCAGTGTACTCATGACTTGTAATATCAATAATACATTCATTAAGAGATTTCCGGTTTTGGCAATTCGCTGGATGGGTGTGCTCACATCGTGCTCTGATGTGAGTGTCCCAAATCGCGGCAAATAGGAAGGGGTGTGGATGTTTCCATGCCCCCCTAGAGCCCCTGCAGGGGGTTCACAGCCTGGGGTGCCTCTTCTGAGGCGATGGCCAAGGAATTGAGGCTCCCCTTTACCCCAATAGGTCCCGCTGCCACGAGGCCATTATAGCATTTAGAAGCGCATGCCCGACGAGGCGAGCAAGTGATCCTGCGATCCAAAGCTCTTCCTACTTCGAAAAAACCCCGTCGGAATGAACTGTGAGTTAATCGAAGCCCCGATGAGCTAGTCAAATGTTAAAGCGGAGAACCGACCACAAGCCCCAAATTCCTATGGTGGGAGGGGAAGAAAAGAAAAGCGGTTTCTAAGTGATAATTTGGAGGCAAGAGACGGTTCTAAATAGAAAAGCTTCAATCTAGCCAAAAGGGGTACAAAATAGCTCAACATGGAAAGAAAGAAATAGACTTACAGGCTTCTCAAACTAACTTTATTCTTGTGTAAACAATGTTGACCAGAGGAGACAAGATGGCGAAAAAGCTAAGACCATCTCCAGGAAGTGCCGGTTCAGTGACCTCAGCCCATAAACCAGAAGCAGTCACTGACTTCCCAAACATGATGGCCACGGCGTTGCGCCCTCTGCTGGACCAGATGACTAATGTCAATAGCAAATTAGACTGCCTCCAGAAGCAAATGATGGACACAGCCAAGAAGACAGATGAGATGAATAAAGCAATGAAACAAGTTGACGATAAGGCGAATGCTATCAAATAGTGACTGGAGGAAGTGGAAAAAGAAAGGATCTCCGATAAAGAACAATTGTTACAGCTACAAATGGAAAAATCATCATACGTCCTGCGATTCCAGGGTATCCCAGAACAACAAGGGGAGAATTTAAAAGAACTTTTGAGCGATGCATTGGCACCAATGGCAGATTTAAAATCAGATTCACTACAAAGCGATATGGATATGGTTTATCAGACCTATCTGGATTTTATCAAGAAAAATAAACTGCCTGGTGAAATATTTGTTAAATTCTCCAAAAGATCAACCAGAGATGCAATTTTAAAAGTGACAAATGGGAAACCAAAGGCGAAGAAGTGAAGATTTTAAAAGACATTCTATTTGAAATCTGCAAGAGGAGACGACAATACAAAAATCTAACTGCTTTTCTGCATAAGAACTCCACTCCCTTCAGATGAATATTTCCAGAAAGACTTATCTTCAACTACAATGGAAAGAAAGAGAAGATAGATTCTGTCCAAAAAGCAAAAATGTTCCAGGATCAGCAACAATCCACATTTAAAGTCCAAGAGAAAGCAGGAGCCACTGTACAAACAGAGGAAAAGAGCAATCATGACTCAGAAGCCAATGAAATTATTTTTGGCAGCTCTGCAGAAGAGTCCAATTCTGAAAAAGGAGCAGTGGTTCCAAAAACACCTAAAGTCCAATTGAAATTTGATAAAGCTAAACACAGGAAATAGTGACTTTATCGAAATCCTGAAAGTCCATGAGTGCCTTAAGTTTCTATGATGTATCCAATAAGGCTAAAAGGGTTTGAGTTAGTCTTAGTGAAATAAGAAAACCAGTATCATTCTATTATATGTTTGTAATCTGATAATAGTAGGAATGACTAATCAGTAATTCATATATATTATTATCCTTGCTATATCTCTTGTTTTATTAGTGTTAGTACCCCTTATATCCCTTTCCTTTGTAGTGTGTAGTAGAAAAGCAATAATTTTTTAAAAATAATACATTCGTTAAAAAAAAGTTTACATTTAGACCAAATTATTATTATAACCACTTGATTAAATGCACCAGATTCACATGCCCAGGAAAAGATAAAGAAAATACTGAGTGTTTGAAAGTCAGAAACCAGAAAAAAATAATACCACTTTAGTTTTTACTACATTTTTACTCAAAAATCGCAAAACTGGAAAACAATCTGTTGTCTGTTTTTACTGTGTGACAGTTTCAATCCACAGCAATTAAAATAGCAAAAATCTTTTAAAAACTAGCAGCCCAAATTCTATTATATTCAGTGTATCTAGGATCCAATCTCAGTAAACATTTCACATAATATCCAATTTGAATCTCTCCTTATATATAATTCTGTTTTGGGGTGACCCTTTCCTGAACGTTCCACACGCTCCCTCAGCATTTGACTCCATGACCTGTCACTCCGACGGGGTGCCAATCCAATGGCTGCGTTGTTGGAGTCCCGCCCACAGAAGTGGCGACCAGTGTCTCGGCCTCAGTGTCGTATGAGGCGATGGGTTGGACGGACGCTCGGCGGGCGGAAGCTGAGAAGGCTGAGGCCTGCATCGCCATTGGTCGCAACGACTCTTCCTGCGCAGGCAGTGGCAGTTGCCACGAGCAGCTGTTCAGGGGAATGGGGCATCAGCGGCCATGCACAAGGCCCGGCGGAGCAGCCAGTGGCACCTCAGGTCTCCCCTCCACTGCAATGGATGAGCCCCCGGCCGAAGCGGGGCACTTCCTCACCGCTCTGAGCCAGGGAAATGAAGCCGAGTGCTGGCCCGCCCCACTGGAGGAGAGCGCCGGGGAGGCACCGCTCGACCAGCTGGACACCTGTGGCCCAGACAGCCAGTGGTTGCACAGCCAGCAGCCCAAGCTCTTGCCCTGCCTCCAATCGCTGTGCCGCCACTGCCTGCCTGCACCTCGCCGCTACCTGCTGTCTCTGCCCGCCGCCCCTTCCCCCAGCAAAGATGCACTGCTGCTGCAGGTGCTCCCTCAGCCGGCCCCATCCTCACCTGTTGCCACGCCTCCCTGCGAGCTCAGTGAGTTGCCAGTGGGCAGAGGAGGGCTGCCATTTGGCGGGGAGGCCGAGGCTGACATCTTTCTAGAGCTCATTGTATTGATTTCACAACGGACTTTGCTACTAGTTTGTAATAATATATGAAATCACTTAAACAAGGCTACATAAAATATAAAAGTACTTAGAACAAGGTTGTTAAGAATATGAGGGTAACCATATGAAACCATGACATTTTGACTTACATCATCAGATATTCCAAGTATCAGACACATCAACCACTTCAAGACAATTGTTCCAAATACCCAAGCGAATCCTTTAACAGCCTGTGAAATGAAGGATACTTTTAGACTGAAGAATCAAAGAAATATAAGAAGCACCCAATGTGAAAGAAAGATTACAAAGATTGTTACCAGTTTACATGATATATTGCACAGAAGCCTCAGTGTTATAATATTTGCAAATATAGGGAGAGGAGGTCCTTCAAACAATCCCAGGTCATTTTTAAATTTATATTATTTATAGTCCACTTTTCTCACAGGGACTCAAGGCAGATTACACATAGGGAGTCAGTACAATCAATCAAGGGGACATTCACTAAACAAAGCATTAGGATTGAAGAAGTCTGGGACCATCTAGAAAGAACTGAAACTTAGTATAAGCATTAACGGGACACATTAAGTGGCAAAATTACATAGTAGATCCTACTTATTGTAAGCTATACACAGCAGTACAGACCACAGTCCCTAACCATTTAGCCAAGTAAACTTGTAAATAATTTTGTACAATGTAGCCCTATTACCTGTGCAGAAAAGCCCTCTTGAATAATTTAGTTTTGCATAGTCTGGAGAATACCAGGAAAGTGTGAGCCTTCTTGACCTCCTCGGGCAGGCCATTTCATAAGGTGGGAGCCACAATGGAGAAAGCATGTGTATGGGCAGTTGTTGATTTCACCCATTTGCAGGTTGGCACCTGTAGCAGCCCCTGCTGACATAAGCAAAGCTGTTGTGGCAGAGCATAGGGGAAGAGGTGGTCCTGCAGATAAGATGGACCAAGGCTATGAAGGGGGTTCTATGTGATAGCGAATACCTTAAATTAAGCACGGTAACAAATGCACAGCCTATGGAGTGTGTGCAGAATGGGAGCTATATACATACTCTGTCTAGCTCCTTTTAACTGCCAAGCTGTGGCAACCTGCACCATCTGGAGTTTCTAAACAGATTTTGAGTGGAGACTAATGTACAGTACATTACAGTATTCTTGATGTTATTGTGGCATGGATCCAGATGACTAGGATCAGTCATATCAAGATAAGGGGCTATCTTTAGGCTGAGTTGGTAGAAAGTGGTTTCTTGCAGCTCCTTTAACTTGCTTCTCCAGTAATAAAGTTGGATCCAATATGACCCCTAAATCAGCAAGGATCAGTTGAACTCCATCAAAAACAGGGAAAGCAATGTCCTTCAAGATCTCAGCCTTCTAACCAGTACTACCTATGTCTTTTCAGGTCATGAAAAGCTTTAAACAAAAGCACCAGTACTTTTGAATTGGACCTGGAAAAAAATAGGCAGCCAATGAAAGGACCTCAAAATAGGAGTAATATGGTGCTGACAAACAGCCCCTGATTGCAAATAGGCTGTTGCATTTTGCACCAGCTGAAATTTATGAATCATTCTTCAAGGACAGTCCTATGAAAAGCCCATTACCAGCAATCCAAGCTTGAGGTTCCCAAAGCATGGATCAGTGATGAATCTTTAGCAAGCAGGCAGTCAGCTTCCTAACTAAATGAGCCAGGGATAAAATGCTGCCATAGTCACATGTTTTGCTAACAAGTGGCTTTATGGAATGGAAAGATAAGGTTTGGATCCACCCATTGCATTTATATCCCATCTTTTGGCCTGCAACAAGTCCTGACAGTGGGTGATGATACAAGAAGAGAAGAGAGAAGAAGAGATTGGATTTACACCCCGCCCTTCTCTACCCAAAGGAGTCTCAGAGTGGTTTACAATCTCCTTCCCCTCCCCACAACAGACACCCTGTGAGGTAGGGGGGGCTGAGATAACTCTTCTGAGAACTGCTCCTGAGAGAACAGCTCTGAAAGAACTTTTAACTGATCCAAGGTCACACCAGCAGCTGCATGTGAAGTAGTGGGGTATCAAACCCGGTTCTCCCAGATTACAGTCCACACTCCTAACCACTACACCAAACTGGCTCTCAACAATAACCAGCCACCTGAGATAGCAATAAAAACAAGCACAATGTCAGCAGAATGCAAATTCTTTATCTCCATTTCAGAGTCCTAAAGTCCTGGCAGAAGAGAAAGGGCTTTACTTATGAACAACCCTTGGGATGTTTAAAACTGTGGTCACTTTTTGAAGTTAATATTTCTTGAAAACATTAACTCTAGTAATATTAGTATCACATGATATGTCAATCCTTACCCACAAAGGTATGTCTTTTCTATATGTTTTCAAGTATTTAGGACCCAGTTCAAGAATACCCTGAAACAAAATTGTTTATTAGTACTTTGACGTCTACAAGATTTATACAGTATTTCCCTGAATTGTAGTCCAGAAGGATGAAACTGATGGGGGGGGGGGCGCGGAATCACCAACATTGTCAGCCAAAACTGATGAATTTAGTGCACACTGTATGTATACAGAGCACTGACATTTTTTATTACTGGTTTCCATATGCAGAGATGGAACCACCCTACTACCAGCTATGTATGAATCTCTTGTCTGATGGTGTGACCTATTTGCATGTCACATCAGCACCTGGCAGAGCCAACACAGGATTAGTTTCTAATGTATAAAAACAATGACAATGGAAGACAGCAATGGAAATAAGGGGTGGCCAAAGCATACTTAAAAACCAATTTAGCCAGCTCATAAAGAAGAAGCAGGACATTCCTCTACATTGTTTAGTTTGCCTTCTTTAACAATACTACTGGCATTTGTCTTTAAGTTCCACATAAGGAATGAAACACTACACAATATTAATAATGGTTTTTATTAATAAACATACTCCCTTTCTTAAGACTGACGATATTGAGAAAATACAAAGATGAAGCCTGAATATTGTTTAGACTTCGTTCTAATTCATTCTAGCTAGCTGCACTGATCCAGAATTCTGATGTAATGCTCCCAAGGACAAAAGTTCTTCTCCATATTAGGGACAGCTCTGGATGCACAGACACATGGTGTGCCCAGAATTTCTTTCCAATTAGCAGTGAATAGGGCATGCTCATAAGGAGCTCCATATATTTCCTGGAGACTCAGCCATCCCAGTTTTCCTTCCCCCACCAAGCATAGGAGCTACATACCTTGCAAACTATCTGAACTGTTCTTTCTAGGTATCTTGTACATTATTGTGGTAATCCAATATAGTAAAATCAATGTTTTCTTGAATACTTCTTTATGAACTTACCCAGCTAACTACTAAAGAGGAAGCATAAAAGGATGTCAGCAACATAGAGTTTCCGAACATCAAGAAAAAACAGGCTCCAAGAGATGCCTAAAATGATATAAAAGGTATCTAAATACTCAACTCAACTCCAAAGACTTTTATTGGCATATACATGAAGATACAGTAATCTAAATATAAAATAGTGCATAGTAAAATTAGAATTGCCAGATAGGATCATAATAAGAGTAGCATCATAATAAAACCTAATTCATAGTATCACTTATTGGCCGTGAGACCATGGCACTGCAAAGAAACTTTGCTACTATTTCAGTTATTTCTGTATCTGGATTATCAAGCAAGAAAAGGAGCTTAAAATCAACAGGGGTCTCTAAAAATTGGGCTAATATGGGATACAGAAGATCCCGACGGGATGCCAGATAGAGAGGGCACTGGAGGAGAACATGGGCAACAGTTTCAACACAGTCCTTCATACAAAGAGGTATCTAAATAAAGAATCCTTTTTAATGCAGTGTTTAAGCTAACAATGATTTTGTCATAGAGACACTCTGAAACATTAGATTTTTATGGAATATTCTCACAAAATAAAGGTGTTACCTTACGATAGTTTTATTTCATTTGCAAAGTCTTGGTTTTCATCAATAATCTACAGGATCCTTTCAAAAAGAAGTCCACAAAATATGCAAAATATTGAGCAATATATTTCTACTGTACTTGTTAAAGGTAAAGGTTCCCTTGCTCGAAAGCCAGTCGAATCCGACTCTAAGGGGTGGTGCTCATCTCCGTTTCAAAGCCGAAGAGCCAGCGCTGTCCGAAGACGTTTCCGTGGTCATGTGGCCGGCATGACTAAACACCAAGGCCAACGGAACGCTGTTACCTTCCCACTGAAGCGGTACCTATTTATCTACTTGCAATTTCTTGCTTTCGAACTGCTAGGCTGGCAGGAGCTGGAACTAGAGATGGGAGCTCACTCGGGTCTCGAACTGCTGAACTACCGACCTTCCACAGGCTGCAGTTCAGCATCTTAACCACTTGAGCCACCGCAGCTCCTTTCTACTGTACTACATCAGAGCTTATTCCTGATTGCTGTTCCCCACAGCACCATCTTTATGTTTCACAGACACATGTGAAAGTCAATAAAAAAGAAACTTATTTACAGTTGGTTTCACGTAGCAGACGTCTTTGTCCACCACATGCACAATCTATTAAGACCTTGCTTAAGGTAATAGGGAGTCGTTCGCCCATTACTCATGGGTGGGGTGACAAATGATGAGACCAGGGCCTACTTATGTGCATATGAGTTCACTGTCATGCACATATAATCATTAAAATGTAACAAAACTTACTAATGAGAACAAGTATTTAAGCAATGAATTGTTTACTGTGAGCCCACTTTTTCTTTAAGATACAATCCTGAATTTATTAAGAACATAATCAAAGGTATATAGCATTTACAAAATTAGTGCTACTTATACAGATTTAGCAAGATTAATTTATGAAAAAGTATTACCATATGTGCGTAAAGTATCATCTGCAGTTTGCATGAATCCATGAATCCCAAAATATATATACCAAAAACTGATGCCATCTGCAATTGAAGAGAACAAAGTAACTGAGCAAATACACTGCATAGAATAACATCAAGAAAATCAACCAGGATCCAGAGAATTAATGATTGTATCCAAAAGGACTTTAGAACTGAAGGGGTTGCAAAAGCACCTTGTGAGAGGGCATAGGAGACAGCTGTGCAAAACTTAACAAAAAAAAATCAGTTTGGGTCCTGGCCATTGTGCTATAAATAATTGGAAGTGTCATTGCTAATATATGGAAAACATGCCATGACTAACGTATTTTCCAAACAGTAAAAAATTATACTGCTGTAACATTCAACACAAAAATGGCTATTCAACATCTCAGAATTGTCACTAAATATGGGAAACTGTTTTAACTACAGCAATTAACTTTTGTGAATAATACTTCTATGTACTTCCAATGACGGCTACTGAATTACTTACATCAAAAGAACAAGACTGACACATTTCTTTAATAGGGGGCGGGCTGAAACACATCTCTCCTGGCTGATATTTGGGCAAGTACAGCTCCTGGCTTTACAAACCAAAGACAGTAAAACTCAAATGTCTGGCTTGATATGATCTGAGGAGACCAATCACTCAGATCAGTGGTGTCCAAACTTGTTGAGCCTGTGAGCACATTTGGAATTTTGAGAAAATGTATTGAGTAACACCACAGAATTGCTTCCATGGGGCCGGTCACAAAAGTTTGGGAGATTCCAGCCCACGCATCCTTCCCTGACAGAACCACTGTCCTACAGCAAGGAGTTGAAGCAAAGTTGGAATCAGCTCTTTGCTTTGGGAAAGATACAATGCTTAAATTCTATTTCCAAGGACAAGGATGGGTTTCTCTCTGTGCAACTACAGACAAGGCCAGAGATATTAGAAAGTCTCTGGCCAAGCTGATGTCATGTGGCTGTGATGTACCACCATGGTATCTCAATGGGTATGTTAGTCAGCTGGTAAGAAGTGGTCGCAAAGAGTCGGACTCGACTGTGCGACTGAACAACAAGAAGTGACATTATTTATTTCTGTTCTGTTAAAAATTATTTAGATTGCATCCCCAAGACTTAAACAGCGAGTAGAAATGAGGAAACACATTGGCAGTTACTATGGCACCCTCTTGGCACCATAATGGGGATTGCTGGCTTAGATATTGAAGAAGTGTTTATACTTGTCTGACTACATGAAAATTAATTCCTTAGAAAAAACAGGTTGCTTACCTGTAACTGATGATTTTCGAGTGGTCATCTGTGCATTCACACCCATGGGATCTAGTGCGCACGCGCTGGATCGATCAGCATTGTAGCAAGCTCTTAACGGATTTTCGCACCCAGACCTTGGGCATGCACAGGAACCCCACCACGCATGCCCAGAGGGGTGGGCGCGGACATCCCGCCAGTTCTTTCAAACTGCCGCAAATCAACCCCTATGAAAAATGTAGAAGCTGACAGCAACGGGGAAGGAGGGCGGGTGGTGTGAATGCACAAATGACCACCCGAAGATCATCAGTTACAGGTAAGCAACCTGTTTATCTTCGATGTGGTCTCTGTGCTTCACACCCATGGGAGATTAGCGAGCAGTAGCCTACCTGGAGGAGGGTGCTGGCAGGTCCTTTACTGCGTAGCCGAAGATAAGATGTGACGTCCCATGTTCGTATTAGAGTTCTTTCAGACGTCTAGGGCGTAGTGCCTTATGAAGGTGTTAGGTGTAGCCCACGTAGCGACTCTGCAAATGTCCGTTAGGGGAACTCCCTGGAGGAAGGCAGTTGAGGCTGAAACAGCTCGGATTGAATGGGCCCTGATAGGGCCAGGCAATGGCTGTTTGGCGATCAGGTAGCAGAGGCGGATGAGACCCGCAATCCACTTTGAGAGGCGCTGAGCCGTGATGCGAGTCCCCGTCTTGTTGGTGCATAGGAGACGAACAGTTGGGAGTCATGTCTCGTTGGACGGGTTCTGTTCAGGTAGAACAGCAGCGCACATTTTGCATCCAACGTGTGTAACAGTCTGTCCTCTGAGGATGTCGGAGCCGGGAAGAAATCCGTGAGGAAGACCTCTGCCTGTAGGTGGAATTCTGACACTACCTTTGGTAGGAACGAGATGTCAGGTACGAGGTGGACACCGTCTGCCAAAAAGAACAAGTAAGGCGTGTCATGTCTGAAAGGCAGTATTTCTCCAACTCGCCTCGCCGAGGTGACAACAACCAGAAAGGCCGTCTTCCACGACAGGAATTTTAGGTCGCAAGTTGCAAGCGGCTCAAAAGGTTTCCTCGTGAGCTGACGAAGAACTAGAGGAAGCGTACTTCTACCTCACCATCCACCTCCTCCATTACTCCAGCTCGATTTTTTCTTGTCTGGTTCGAAAACCTAGCACAGTGCTGACAAGACTCAGGTCGGTGAGACTCCCCCAAACAAAAAATACAGAGGGCGTGGCGGTCAGGTGGAGCAAGTTTACTGCCGCAACCCTTGCAGCGGATGAAAAAGCCCTCTTCTCCATAAAAATTAAAAAACGGAGAAGAAGGGGTTTGGGGGGGGGAGCCCGAATGCCAAACTGAGGTAAACCGGCAACTTCCCCCTCAACAAAAAAAGACCAACTTAAAAAAAAAATTTAAAGAACAAACAAAGAAAGACTAAGAAAAAAGAAGAAAACTGAGGAAAAAATCCAAATAGCCAAAAAAGAACCGATCAGACAGACGAAGAAAAGGTCTTTCCAACACGGCGGTAAGAAAGGAACTGGCGGGATGTCCACGCCCACCCCTCTGGGCATGCGTGGTGGGGTTCCTGCGCATGCCCGAGGTCTGGGCGCAAAAATCCATTAAGAGCTTGCTACAATGCCAATTGATCCAGCGCGTGCGCACTAGATTCCATGGGTGTGAAGCACAGAGACCACATCGAAGATCTATTTTAATTATTATACACTCATTGGAGCTAAAAGGGAAAAAAAACTATTGGAAAGCCATGTAACTTTCACCAGGAAGAATAAATTGTAAGCCTCTTAAAGTACTTTTTAATGAAGGCCAAGCAACATAGTCATCCCAACCTAAGAAACCTGGGACATTCAGGTTCAAATAATGGATTTTAGTAAATGGAAAAATATGAGTTTGTGAAAGTTCTTCTTTGAGACAAGGAGCTGTTTAGGATGGCATTGTAGTCCTATGTTCTGTACAGATTCTAAAAGAGAATGCTGCTAATGTAAATATTGCCTAGATCTAGAGTTTCCATACAGTTAGAGGCCTTTTGCAGACCTTCTCTGATGCGCCAACAGTGACTTCTGGTGGATCCTGGAAAAAAGGGTTCCATTGTATGGAATATAATTTTGGGATGGAAAATTATCACTAATTTGAAATAAAGAATACAAGTTATAAATGACATAACCAATATGGTTTAAAATTAAGGAGATTTTTGAACGGAGATGCTGGACACATGTAAGCAACTTGCTAGTGTTTCCTGTAGCACAAACGTTATGGACTTAATTTAAGCCTGAAGGCTGCAGAAAAAAGTGAGAAGGTGTGTGTTATGTGCTACCATCCTAAGTGAATGAAAGGATGCCTTGTGAAAGAATAAATTACAAAGAACAGTTTTTCGGGAGCTATTAATTTCACAGGAGAACTTATAAAGCCCACCTGTGCCCCAGAGCTTCTGATAAGAAGCTGGACTATACTATGCAGAACATCACAGAAAGATCTTAGAATTGTACACTGCCCTAAAGGAAGGGTACCCTTTGAAGAATTCTACATGGAACAGGTACCAGACTCTACAGGGATTTTTAGTATGGAAAAGGGCAAAAGTCTGGGAACTGAGCTTATACAAGCAGTCCCGAGAGGCAAGGAATCCTGACAGGTAAGGACATAACTTCAAGCAGCCTAGTCAAGTGATCAGAAGTGACAGAGGGCATTATTTTGGGTACCACCAAGGATGGGCTATAAGGGTATGAATGTTTGTTCCTATGGGGGAAAGACTGGATGTTTAACATAAAATGATGGTCATACCTCTGGCAACTACCCCTGGACAAGAGAAATGAAAAACAGGTTGCTTACCAGTAACTGGTGATCTTCGAGTGGTCATCTGTGCATTCACACCAATGGGATCTAGTGCGCCTGCACTGGATCAATCGGTGCTGTAGCAAGCTCTTTTCAACGGATTTTCGCGCCCATTCCCCGAGGCAAGTGCAGGAACCCCACTGCGCATGCCCAGAGGGGTGGGCGCGGACATCCCGCCAGTTCCTACAAACCGCTGCATATCAACTCCTAAGAGAATAGGTAAAAGCTGACAGCAGCAGGGCAGGAGGGCGGGTGGTGTGAATGCACAGATGACCACTCGAAGATCACCAGTTACTGGTAAGCAACGAACCTGTCCAAGCACCTTATCTACATCCTCGAGCTGTACCAACTGAAACTCATCCAATTAAACTGGACAAGACTGTGCACTGTATATCTCCACCAATTCCACTGCTGTAACTCTAGAGTCTAAGTCCTGGCAAATACGACAATTTTTTTCCTGGAAGTGCCCAGTGAATATATTACAGCAGGCCAGGGATAGTTCCAAGGTATCCCTGGATGTAATAAGCCCTGGGCAACCTTGAAAAGCTCCACTGGGTGGCAAAGAAAGGACTGAACAGAGGCAGTGAGGTATTGTTCTGCCTCAAGATATACCCGATTATAGGCACAGGCCAAGGTTTTGTTGCATTCACTGGGGTCCTTCTCCACCTGCACTCCAGCCCTCTCCTAAGCTGTTTCGTCACTCTCAGCTCCAGGGTATACCACAGGGCAGTATGAGCTCTACAATGGAGAGGGCACTTAGGTGAAATTGTGTCAGCTGCCCAGGTCATTTCCATATTTCACAGAGTGACCCGGCCTTCAACAGGAGCGCCAGCCAGGTCATCCGGAAAAATTCAATATGCTATACAGATAACTCTGTGAGCTGCTTTGTACATAAATATAACTTGTAAATCATACCATGAAGAACTAGTCATTGCAGAGAGAACTAGAAAATAAATGGCATATCTCAACTGAGCCTGCTCCTTCAGCTTGGCTGAAAGCAGAATAAAAACATTCTGCTCAGTGAATCTTAGAGACACCTCATGTTTTTATTAACATATAAGTTAGTTATTGTTAAATCTTTGGTGTTTATGTATTTTGTATTTAGCTGTACATCACTTTGAAAAAGTTATTCAGAAAAGCAGAATAAATAAATATAAGTAGATAACCTTAATTGAAGTCATATTCATGGAAATGATCTTACTTGTGTTAGAAGAACAAACTGAGCAAACTGCCATGGAAGCATGAATAAAGCATTAACAATAGACAGTGCAATCAGGCTTCTTCTACTGACATTTGGAGCCCTTAGGGGGGGAAAATAGAACAGCAGTTAAGTTCAGCAAAACTAGGCCTTTAACATCAAGAGCCAAAAATAAAAACAGGTTATTTACATGAAACTATTGTTCTTCAAGTGGTCATCTGTGCATTCACAATTATGGGTTTGGGGCCTTTGTAGAACTAGCATTTGGAAGCTTCTAAAGCTAGGTCTGAGGCATAGAGACCTCCTCTCCCCAGAGTCACAGAGCCTTCCCACTCAGTACCTTCCAAAATGTATTAATAAGTTGTAGCAAATTAAAAAGGCACCTGCTGCTGGGAAGGTGCGCAGGTTGTGTGAGTGCCCAGATGACCTCTCAAAAAACAACAGAAGTAAGCAACCTGTTTTTATGTCTTCACGGTCTCTGTGCATCACGATGACAGGTACAGACCAGCAAGCTGACCTCCCTGGAGGAGGGTAAAGTTGCACACTGAAAGAGAAAAAACACCGTACTGCTTGGCCAGAGGAGGCATCAACTATGGCCCACATGTCAAGGGCATAATCTCTGCTACAACTAAATGACAGAATGCAAGTGGTTGGCATCCAAAACTGGGGCAGAGGAAGCCCTGTAGAAGGCAAAGCCCATTTTCCATCTTTGGTGGTGTATCTGTTGTGACTGTGGCTTAGTCAGGTCATAACAGAGGTCTATAGTGTATGAAGTCCTACAGCTAAGTATCTAGGAATAGATAGAATTGTCATTCTCTTGTTATAGCCTGAGTGACAGATGAAGAAAAAAGAGACTGCCATATTACCAGAACACAGCTGTTCTTCTAACATCTAAAAAGTGGTAAGTTTACTCTGGATTTGCACAACAAAGGGGGGGGGAACAGACAACAAGGAGCTGATTTATATGAAAAAACCAGTCACCACTATAGGCAGAAATGTGATGTCAGGACACAAGAATGAAGGAAGGACTGACTTCAAAATAGGATTTAAGAGGAACATAGGGGAAGGAATAGAACCCAGTCATCCAGACATGTCTTAGGGAATACATATCCCAGGGGCAGGTAATACAACCAGTCTGTCCAGAGGCACAGGGAAATGAAGCAGACTCCACTAGGAATGGGAACAAACCAGAAAATTCCAGTTCAGTTTGGGGTTCTGGGTATACAAACCAGAAAATTCCAGTTCAGTTTGGGGTTCTGGGTATACCTGAACTGAACCCTGAACCAGGCAAAAATGCCTGAACGGAACCGGCCAGTTCAGGCCACTGTTCTCCCGGCGGAAGGGAGGGATCGCCCTGAAAGGGTTAAATGGCTGAAAGCCATTAAAACCCATCCGTTTTGCAGCGAAAGGGATCACTGAAATGGCCCGTCAGCTGTTAGGCTGAAATAGATGCAAGCCATTTCAGTGACCCCTTTCGCTCTTCCCTTTCGCACAGACCTCTGGAAAAAAAACATGGAGGGTCATGGGGGGGTTGTGAAGGCGAGCATGCATGAACCTCCACAAACCACAACCTGGGTGACTTTAGCACCAAACTTAGGGTCATGGGCAGGTTCGTGCCCATCCCTAGACTGCACAGAGGCAGCTGGGTCCACCATGTCTTCTGATGTTATGAGGGCTTGTTCTGTAAAGTAGACTACAAAAAGAACAGCATGATTTCTACCTTTCTTAGTTAACTCCTGACAATCAGACTACAAGTATAATGTATATTACCCCCCCATTAAAGGAGATTCTCAGTTTTTATTGTTATTGAAATGCTTGAAAAACATCACCTAAGCACCATCACTGAAAAGAACACATAATGTATGGAAATTACATGACTATGCTGTGAAGATTTACTTATGGCCCCTGCTGCTGATGGATAATGTAGGGAATCACTTTCTGTGCTACGAACACCTCAACGCTATCACTAAGAGGGAAAAAAATAATACACAAAATAACCAAGCTACACTGTGAGACGTTTAATCACTTTCTGTGCTACGAACACCTCAACGCTGTCACTAAGAGGGGGAAAAAATACACAAAATAACCAACCTACACTGTGAGAAGTTTCTCCCCTCACTGTGGCCTGCCCTTGAGAACAATTGCCTGCAGCACAGGGACCTCAGCAGCACTCCCAAAGGGAAAACAGTATGAGGGAATATTGTAACCACACAGTTAGGTATTTGCTCTCTCACTACGGACAGTGCATGATAATAGTTTCCTGCACCACAGCACCACCACAGAAAGGGAACAATGTTAGAGAATACCTTTACTGCACTGTGAGAAGTTTCTTTTTTTTACTTAGAAGACAGTCTTCAGCATTGTCACTGAAGGGGCAGAAAACTTATCACTCACTCATAGGGGGGGAAAGCTACATTTGAGAGAAAAATCCCACAGAGCAGGTTCCGAATCAATGGTGCTGCTCTGCTGCAGTAGACAAAGGCAAATTGAGTGAGAAGGCTCAGCCCCTCCCTTCTGGGTACACTCACTTCAAGCTGTGACCCTGGGGTTAGGAGACACCTTCTCAGGTGAAAACTAGCTCTCTGAACTTCTGAATCCTACCTTTAGGCAGGCACAAAGCCCATCAGTGTAACACAGAGAGACCATGAAGATGCAATGAAAAATGTCAAACTGTCTTATATTTTTACTTTAAAATGGTAAGAGCTATACATAACCAATTTAAAAAGCTTCCATATTAATATGATATGGGCTAATCTTCCATAATATGAAATACCAGGCACCTATGCAATATCAGAAATGCCATAAAACAGAAACTCATACATACAAGAAGCACCAAATGGCATGTTACACAAAAGAAAGCATAAAATTTGTGTGCAAGCATCATCTTTCTAGCAGTCCCTACAGAACAACAGTGTCAACATAAGAAAGGGAAAACTGAAGTCATTATTTATGTCATTTTCACTCAACATCGGCCAGTGTCAGAGGTAAGTCAGTCTCGGGCTCTCATGTGTTTTCATTCTACCTTCACAACTTAAGAGTTAGAAAGTAACTTCTGATTAGGTCTCTTATTGGGCTTAGCTGTATCCAAGACTGCTTTGAATCCACTATTCTTCGTTTGGCTGAAAGGGGAGACAATATAGACGTTTCAGGAACATCCTGTATACAGATAAACCCAGTACTTGGCCAGGTCAAATGTTAATTTTCTCTCTCTCTTGTAATAAGGGATTTTTTTCCTATGGAAAAAAACAGCTGAATTAGTTTGATGTTTTCTCAGTTGCCATGTATGGAAAAATAGGAAATGTATGGAAAAATGCAAGCCATCCTGTCATGAGCCAGAACAGTGTCCTGGGCAGAGGGCTTATATGGGCCCTCATTTATTAGCTTCCATAATTATAAACCTTTCCCCTATCACATTGTGACTGTGTACCATGACACCTGCCAACACTTTTCCTGGTGTACACCAAGTGTTCTTAAAACGTGAGTGGGGCTATGCAGGACAAGCCGATCCGGGAGGAAGAAGATCAACAAGTCCCTCCACTGGGTGCCGGTAGGGCAGTCCCCATCCCCTGTATATGTGTGGCCATAGGTAAGGGACAAACTGAGTAACTGTAAGCCGCTCAGAGACCCCCTAGGGGGTTCGAGCAGGGTAGTAAGTTGAAGGATTAAAAAAAGGGGAGGCACTTGCCCAGTATGGCTTCTGATTGGGCACTGGAGATCCAATTGGTATCTGCCACCACAATGTTCATTTTATTCTCTCTCACTCCTCATTCTGTGTATTTTTAAAATTATCCCTCCTCTCTCCAGTGCTTGGACTTTCTCTGTATGTTTGGCTGCACTTTCTGCAGCAACTATTTTGTGGTTGCACCCACCACCCTGTGTCAAAATTCCAAAAGTGCCCACAGGCTCAAAATGGTTGGGCACCAGTGGTGCAATAGTTGCTAGATTGCTAGATTGACTTGAATGGAGAAAATGATGAGGCTATAATCAGAAGAACTATTAACAGGCTGCATACATACAGGGACCGTTTAAAAATTTAATGGCAGCATATGCAAACTTAGATGAACCCACAGCTTAAAACCAGTTGTAGAGGAGATGAATGTTTCCTCAGATTATTTTCATCTTTCTGTTATGTGCCAGTGCCACTCACTGGTTCAACAGTAAGGCAGGGAGAGGTGATAGAGAACTTCAAACCATCTATACTACACAGAGAAGAAATACCATGTTGTCCACACAATAAGGGTATATAAACACTTTGGGAATTTTGTTTTGATTCCTCATATTTAATTGGTGATAAGAACAGAACTTACCTGAGAATGTAGGTTAGCAATAGCATCTGAACCACAAGGAATGGATATGAGAAGCTTTCACGAAGAGGGGGAGTCCACATCACACGAGTACTCTGGAAACAAAGACTAGGTTAATTCACTGAATAGTCCCTATAATTTTATCTTCAAGAGAATGCATTTGATATTAATGTTCATAGACAGTAATTCTGAAATTGTGGAAATTTCTACCCATGAATGAAGCAGCATGTTATAAGACAAGACTTTTTATGAACACAAAATAAGTAAAAATGTGGCAAGTTTTGGAGATGGTGAAAACCAACTCTGGTTTTCTTTTTACTGACTTAACTCTACATTCTACTTGTTCACCTGAAATTAATACTGCAGTGATGCAAAGTAGTAAAAGCAAAAACCTGCCCTTATCTACATAGAGAATTTCAGCTGATTTACTGGTTTCTATATGATGACTGTAAGAACAAAAATGAAAAAATTACGAATATCAATTTATTAAATGTTTATTCTGCTCTTCTCCCAAGGAGCTCAACTGAACTCATATTTAGATAGTCAGAAGGAAATAAAAATATTGATACTGATATTTTACTGTGGACATAAGCATGATTACCAGTTTTTTAAAAAACAGGTTGCTTACCAGTAACTGGTGATCTTCGAGTGGTCATCTGTGCATTCACACCAATGGGATCTAGTGCGCCTGCGCTGGATCTGCCGGTGCCTTGCAAGCTCTCTTAAAAGGATTTTCGTGCCTGGCCCAACTGAGCATGCTCAGGAGCCCCAGTGAGCATGCCCAGAAGGGCAGGCACGGACATCCCGCCAATTCCTACCAACCGCCGCGCATCAATCTCCTAACAAAACAGGTAGAAGAAGACAGCAGCGGGGCAGGAGGGCGGGTGGTGTGAATGCACAGATGACCACTCGAAGATC